AGAATTACTTAATAACTTTTTTACGTCAATACATACAAGTTATACATAGAGAATACGCTGACCAATACAAACATCAACATTCCATCAGGTGGGCTGTCAGCTTGTTTGTCATTCTCAGTTGAATAAAAAAAAACAGTAATTTTACAATACTATCAGATCAAATTAACCGTGTAGCTTCCGGCATAAAATAGGACACCTAGTCCTTTTCCGTGACTGTCGTAGGAGGTCATTAAGGCAGATTATGGTGGAGAGATGGGTAGCAGCGTCCCTCTCAAAACATCACCAAAAGCCAAACTACGGTTACCAACCCGCTTGCCAAGCGCGATAACTACTGATAATCCCCTCCTCCCCCCCCCCCCTCCTTATGGAGGAGGCTTTGTTCAGCAGTGAACAGTTAAACGTTAATAGAAATAAAACAAAATCAGAGTAAAATATTATTTTACGAGTTAGGTTTAGAGAAATGACGCCTCAGAATAGTTATGGTTTTTATAAACAAACAAACTCACTTGCACATTTATAATATTAGTAAGGATAGAAAAGTTCGTAACTTGGACTACATCTAAACGTTTTTAGAGCACTGATACTGATGTGATCTTTATTTCTTTTATTCCGCATAGAGTATTAATCGTAATGGATATATCAGTGTTATATCGCCGTTTGTGCCCCGGCATAGGATGAGCCACCCCTTATTTTCCCGTGGGTGTTGTAAGAGACGACTAAGGGAGGGCGAGGGATGAGCAGCAGCGTCTCTCTTATAGCATCTTTAAAATACATACAAGTTATACCAAGCGAATACGTGGACTCAATACAAAGAATGGCAAACATTCCATTAGGTGGGCCGTTAGCGTCGCCTATAGACATGAGCTGTACCATAGACATAACAGAGTATACTGTTTCGCCCATGATATGTTCAGTAGTGGACAGTTAACGGCTGAAATAATAATAATTATATAAAAAACATAGATGTCACGGTGTTTCTTCATGCTGATCTTTGAAATCGCTCAAACAATTTAATTGAGATTTTGTTTTTTTTTTATTACACAGCGCCATCTAGATGATTACTAGACAACCGAGAGAAATATTTAATTAATTTTTTTTGAAGACACCACGCCGGCATACACAGACCATCAGTGTATGCCGGCTGAAGAAACCCAGTGACCCGGAGGTCGTCGCCTTCGTAGTAGAAGCCGGGGTAGTGGGGTACACCCCTAGACCCCTACCTCGCCCGCCCACACATCATCCGGCGGGCAAGAGATGTCCATGTTGTTTACTTTTTTACGTAAATACATACAAATTATACATAGAGAATACGCGGACCAATACAAACAGTATGATAATCTAAAAGTGTATAGGCGACGGTTACCATTTTCCATCAGATGGGCCTTCAGATTATTTATCATTCTAAATTGAATAAAAAAAACAATATTTTCGCCAAACGGAAGTACATATTGACATACTGCAATAAGTGTGGAGATGTTTCTGTGACATTTCATAAATATCCTATATTGTATTTGAATTTACAACATATTGTTATGTTGTATATGGTTTGTGCAAAAAATAGCAAATACAAAAACACATACTGACATACTGATATAAATGTGGAGATGTTTCGTAAATATCGTATGTTGTTAATATTTGTACTTATTTACAATATGGAATCGTGTATTGTTAACATATAGATTTTACTACGCAAACCAGCTGTTTTTTCTTTCCTCAAAGAAAAGCGGCAGCTTTCATAGTCACAAAATATAATATTGGAGCAACACGGATAGAAACCTAATTATGGATCGATTTTCATAATTGCAAAAATAAATATCAAAATTGGTCCAGAACTGGTTAATCGCCAAAAACAAGAATTCATATGACTTGAGAATTTGTTTCTTTCGTAACTCACTTAAAAATTGTATAAGGATGGTGATGACTAATGATTCATAACTTTGGCTTACCGAAATGTATCTTGTTTGTTAATTTTAAAAAATAATTCAATATTTTTCATTGTTTCCGATTTATTTATTTAAAAGGTTCTTTGCTAGCGAACTAAATGATAATCATAGAATACATTGTATATACTACTTTGGAAAAAATTGCGCTTACTTTATATTTTGCATCGGATTTTTTTAAATATATTTTTGCCTTTAAAATCAGAATTTTCAGTGATAGCTTAATAAGAGTATAATTGCATGATTAACGATTCAGTTCGCTAGTAGAGTACTTTTTAAATAATCAATCAAAAACATTTAACAATGTTCAATTGTTTTTAAAAAATTGCAGATGATTGCAATGTTACCATACTTTGTTTTGTTCCGAACGCTCATAACAGTTTTCGCCATTAGCCTGCATTCTAGCCACACATTTCTTTTGTTTCTTTTTACTGTCCACTTTTACAGCCAATAACTACCGCCATAAAATACTTTGATATTTGAGATACAAAATTTCGTCATAAAATCATGTTTTTATGGTATTCGAAGATTTCTTACACTTGTTCCAATAAACTTGTAATGGTTAATAAAATCACGCTTTTAGGTTAGAATTATTTGTCAAAATTATCACATAACATAACTCCAATTATTGTTTGGTAAATAAATCATCATCATCATCATCATATCAGCCGTTATTTGTCCACTGCTGAACATAGGCCTCCCTAACGGTGTTTAGCCATCTGCACCTACTGACTGATGTGGAGTCGCCACTCACTACATAATCCTGTATGGGATCGCCACTCAAGAATTTTTCTTCTCCATCGGTTGTCGTTTATTCAAGCTATGTGACCAACTCATTACCACTTAAGCTTGCTTATCCTTCGGGCTAGCAGTGTCTCTCCTAAAACATCACCATATCTAATTTTTGTTTCCAATTTGCCTGCCAAGCATGATAACTACTGGCAAACAATTAGATGGAAGCACTTATATGTTTTTATACCTTTGCAAACCTTTTTTTGCATCTTGGATTGAACACCAGACAACTTCGGGGTATCCACTAGGTCTACATACTCGTACGGCTATGTTTATCTGTGAAAATTGTAACTATCTATTATTGATTGTTGCTAATTCATCGTCATAGTTATATAATATAATACATTAGACTGATATGATGATCATTAACTGTCTGAACATAGGCTTCTCCCATAAGGTTTTGCCAGTAGTTGCCACGCTTGGCAGGCGGGTTGGCAAAAGCAAGTAGGCTTTGGTGACGTTAAGAAGGACGCTGCTGCCCATCCATCGACTATTAAATTCCCTTAGACTCCTCTTACGACACCCACTATTACTATTTCTTAAGCTTTATTTATTATCCTAAAAAATAATGTAGTTCTATGAAATATATTACATACGTAAATGAAAAATGTGGCATATAATCATACTTCTGAATGATATTCCCCATTTTACAAAGAAAATCAACAATATTCGTGTAAAGCAATCACAAATTTAAATTAATTACAATACGGATTCGATTGCATCTGCCATTAACAACATTGTACATCTGGTACCATCGTAAAATTTAACGACCGTCGACGTGTGTCTATGCCCCAGCTGTGGTCTAACGCTGGTTAGCAATTAATTAATTGTCTATATATGCTTACGTGGCGAGTATTGGACAGGCCAGTTTACGATAGCGACGGTTCCTATGAATATTCATAGTAGGTCGTGTTTGAGGACCGAATTTGATTACACAGACCGATGTGGCTCGACTATACCGATAGTTTGGTCATAGATTAAATAATAGTTTTAGTGATTACATGTACCTTTAGTAACCTATTCAAATCCATTGTGCCTATTAAGTAAATCAATGTAGGTAGGTATACGCACGAATACAACTTCATTTTTCACTACTAGAAATGACCAGCTACTAAACGAAAGATCAACATAAACGAGAAACATTCTTAGATATTATTTTTTTATTGTTAAAATTAAAGATGTATTTCATAATACATGTGTACATACAAAGGATTAATACAAAGAGTCTTATCCGCCACTGATAAAATGTCTCTTGCCTACGTAAGATTTAATGGATATGTATAATTATAATACATAAAGGTGAGGCTATTAAAAATACCGTGGATATATACAAAACAGTGGAAGCCATCCATACTACATACCATACCTCATGGATTTACTCTTCAATAACACATACATGTGTTAAATATTTATTTTTAATTATATTAATTTTCTTAAACATCTTGTATTAAAATGTGTACCTACATTTATTAATAAAAATCAGACTAATTACTTTAAATATAATAAAATATTAAAATTGTTATTATACCAAATTTTATAATGAATTATTCTTGTAATGTATATAAAACACTAATTTATATTTTAATTGATTTTATAACTATTTATTATCATGATAGTTAAATAAAAAGTAATGAAATTGTAAGAACACGTGCTCTCACTGACTTGTTCACTCGAATTCGGCCCTGTGGATATAAAAGATTGTTATTTGGGTGGGGAGATACTTCTTGTCCAACCGTTGAACAGAGCGGAGCTCCCTGACGTATCAAGAGTGAACAAGTATAGTAAACTACGTGGTCATAGATGAAATATATCAATTATTGTTGATGGAAATCCTAAAGAAGCTATAGTTAAATAAGTGTGAATGGATTAACAGAAGTTGGATATTTATGTATTATTTGTTATATGTCATATACAAAGTAAAATAAGTAAATATATGATTTAATAGTATGATATCTAAATTAAATTAACTGTGAGAACTTGTGCTTTATTTCTTGTCTTTAGCAATATAAAGGTTGTAAGCCTCTTGGGCTCACAACCTTTATATTGCTAAAGAATATATCATTATACTTGTAAAGTTAGTATTACGTAATACCCATTTTTGAGACATGCATACTACCTACCACTAAAATACTACTATAAAAATACTCATTAAAATCAAATATAATATTTACATAGGAGTAAAACTTTACTCTGATTTTTTTTATAATTTTAAATTAGAAAATTCGACTTTTACAATTAAAAAATTCATACCCAATTTCTTCTTTTCAGATAACTTTCAAGGAGACATCGCCATTCCAGATGTTGACTATTTCAAGCCAGCAAGTGGTCCATCAGCATATAGTAAGATTAATAAATCACTACAAGAAGAAGTAGAGAGATTAAAAAAAGAAGTACTCTTAGAAGGTTTACAGGTAGAAGAAGAAGGATTGCCTGATATTTTAAGAAAAAGAACAAAGCAACCAATTTTCCTTTCGCAAGATAAACCTAAAAAATACAACGATGCTGCATTGAATACAAAGGTAAATATTTTTAAATAAATAATGCTCAAAATATATATGAAAAATACTAAACAGATATATTTTATTTAATTAGTTACATCATAATTAAAATTATCATAATTTTGCAATGAATACAATAACTAATGAAACGTATTCTAATAATAATATGACCCTTATCGTTTTTTAGTTTTTGCCACATGGATTAGATAAATCGATATTAATGAAAAACGGTAAATATCTACCTGAAGAAACACTTGATAATATTCACGCCGCTCCCACAAATCAAAGTAAATTGGATAATTCAAATCAAACTGTAGTAGACAATTTAACAGAATATGAAAGCCTTGAACAAGATGGTGTTCTAGTAGTTAACATATCTACTGATAATATATTAAATTTAGATGAGTTATATCCACATATTCAATTAGCAAATTTTTCCAACAAAATGGACGAAGTTACAAATAAAATACAGAGCAATAGTCGTGAAATTTCTGGCGATTTAAAGAGAACTAAAGATTTACCAGACAACGTGACAGTTGCTCCAGCCCCGACAAATGGGGTTTTGTCAACAAATGAGCAAGACGAAGACAATGATAGCATAGATAAATTTGTAATAAATAATACAGAACGACCTTTAGAGAAAAAAATTAATGAAGCTAATGATTTGTTGAAACCCACCGAGAGCTTACAGATATTAATGGAAGAAACAACCACCAGAAGAAGGCGGAGAAGAAGAAGACATGGAAATCGAAGAAGGTACGATTACTACTCTTTAATTTATTTTATATTAATTATTTGGTAACATATTAATTAATTATTTGCACTATATAAATGTAATAAAATGTTTACGAGTAAATTAATTTGCCATCAGCAGCATACAGCAAACCAAGTTAATTAAAAAATGTAGATTAACAAAGTTTAATAGAGATTCGAGTAGTGAATAGCATGAAGTCTTATTTTTTGTAATAAAAATAAAATAAGAAGCTTTGATATCAAAAAGCAGTACAATATAACTATATAAACATATCAATTATAGGTATATAGGTTACTCATCATTACAATATTTTCCATTTTAAATTCTGACAATTTTACCTATTCAGCTTTAACTTTTCCTTTACTTCAGATTTCAGTGCTGAGTAAAGATTCTAATAGAGCCTTGTGAATAAGTCTCGTTGCCTGTGCAACGTAATTGCTCCATCTCAAAAGCCCTGCTTCTTCCTTTACCGTCGGTTTCACTTTTGTTTTTGACTTGCCAAATGAAAGGCTATCTTTATATATTTTATTATGAACGGAATAAATATCGTAAGGAATTTCATTGAATCGAATTTAATCGAAAACAACTGACTTATATTAGACAATTTATTTATACTAAATCAATTAGTAACCTTATATAGATAGCCAGTGATATGTGGCATACGTTAGCATTTAATTTTCGCTACGTCCATGTTCTCGTAGTATTTAAAAGTGAAGTATTCATATATTTATTTATTTAAATTTTAATGTACAATTATTTAATATAAGTGTACATTTGGCAGACTTAATACCTAATGACGTTCTGTAACATGATCAAATATTCAATAAAGAGTACCTGGGTCTAAATATAGGATATATTTAGATCCAGGTACTGAGTTATGGCCACATCAAAGTTCTAGTATATTTTGCTTAATCATAGACATCGTTTGTTTTTCTTTTAATGGGATGAACATAATTATTTAGGTTAATCCCGTCTGCGATATCGACATAATCTAGCGGGGTACCAGTGAATGACGACAGACGAGGATGAAGTCGGAACCGTTGTCCGAATTTCATGAAATAACCACGATGGTTTTCTGGAGGAACCGCGTGGAGATCGACCTCATAAGTTATATTGTTAGTTAATGCGGCTATTAAACCCCCTTTACTAACATATAATATAAATGGATATAGATTTAATTATCACTTTTATTTACAATTTATAAATAAATAAACAGCTAAATGTGCCATGGAACTAGAAGACATTTGAAATGAAAAAAATGTGCATTGTGTGTAAGCATTAATCGATCATGCATGGGCCATGTAATTTGAGACATAGTGCATTTAAATAAATATACATAATATTAACGAAGATTTAAAAGAGTGACTGTTGAGTTTCTTGCGGGCTTATCTCAGCAGATAATGCCTTTTTAACCCCGTAGTAGATTTAAAAAAATGACTATTTAAAATTGCTTGTAAATAAATTTATTTGAATAAAGACGATTTGAATTTGAAACAATGTAATTATTGTAGATTAAAATAAACGACTGTTCACTAAGATAAATGGATTCATAAAACAATTAGTAAGGGAACATAAATACAAGCGCAGTGCAGTCACAAATGCGCCCAGATCTGCATAGCTTAAGTCGCCTATTCATTAGCATTGAAGCGAGCAATAAACCGGGTACTTATTTTATATAATTTAAGTCTTTATTCTGCAAAATAATTGACTTAGATTTCCAACTGACTTCAAAAAAAGGGAGGTTTTCAATTCGGTTTTGTATTTTTATGTTTGTTACCTCTTAACTCCGTCATTTATGAACCGATTTGGAAAACTCCTTTTTATTTAAAAACATACACTTTCAAATATATTTCATAAAAATGTTTATGAAAATTACTATATTAATTTAGTTTTTAAATTTAAATAACTGCTGACATCGGGTTTTTTGGAAAACAATTATAATTTGTTACTAAATTAATATTATATAAAACTTAGACTGTTTTTTGATCTTTTAATTTTTTCCACTAGTGTATTATTACGTATAACGAAATAGCTGCTAAATTATTTCTCGAATATTAATTAATTTTACTTTATATTTAATTAATGATGCTTATAAAGTGCTTATGAAGTAAAGACACTTTAAAATAATTATTTCAGATTAAGAAACGTCCACTCAAGTGAACGATTAGGACAGAACACACTGAAGTTCGGCGAGCAATCGCAGACTGATCATTTTGAGAGGAAAAAATTTTTTCGTCACCAAAAGAAGTACAACAGCGGTGAACGCAGCGAGCCGAGAAAGTATGAAATACCCGAGCATGAATTTGAAGAGAAATTCGAAGTGAAACCACCTCCAAAACCAAACGTTACTGGAAATGGAGGGACTCAACAATTCAAGGATTGGTTTTTTCGGGACACCACTGACGATTTAGAAGCTGCCGAGAGTCGCTTCTATAATATTTCCGAGGTAAATTCTGCAATTTTATTTAAATACTCGTTTTTGCCCGTTATGTCATATGCGTGACCGGGATATGTTCATTGACCGGGATTAAAATACCCTGTGTCCTTCTTCATCCCATATAGTACGTGTATACCAAATTTTATAGTTATTGGCAAATTAAGGTGCTAGGTATGTATATAATAGTACCTAATGTTTACATAGGATCTACAAAATTACTTTAAAAACAATAGCTGAAGTATCGAACACGTTACATCGTTCCATAAGATGTGATAAATAGACACACACACAGATAGAGAGGAAGAGAGAGGGAGCGAGGGGGGTAGAGAGAGGAAAAGAGAGTGAGAAGAGAGAAGGGGAGAGAGAGAGTTTGTGAGAGAGCGAGAGAGATAAAATATCAGTAGTAATATTTTTAATTCTGAAACCGTGCCAGATGTATAATTATTTTCATAAAAAATCTATTTCATTGTTCATGTCTGTAGATAACAGTTGCCATTTCTACGATGGATCGTTTTCACATTTATTATCAACAAATATTTATTCATTTTATATAAAAAAAAAACTAAACTAAAAAAATAGTGTTTCACAGATTAAAAAACGTCATCGATCCATAAGGGCCGCGACGAATCGCAAAGAACGTATATGGGAGAACGGTGTAATCCCATACGAAATAGATGGCAACTTCAGCGGCGCGCACAAGTCGCTGTTCAAACAAGCCATGCGTCACTGGGAGAACTTCACGTGCGTGAAGTTCGTTGAAAGGGACGCAGACCTGCATCGAGATTACATAGTCTTCACAGAGAGACCATGCGGGTGAGTCATCATGTCAGCCTTTATCTGTCCTTGCTAAACATAAGCCTTTTCCTTGAGCGGTTTTGCCAGTAGTTGCCACGCTTGGCAAGCGGGTTGGCAACCACAGTTAGGCTTTATTAGTTACACTTCTTGCGCCAAATAGCTACCATCTATTTTCTTTTCACCTCTACGTAAAAGTTGTCTGAAAGAGATTGCTTTAGCGATAAGACCACCTTTTGTACTTTATAAGTGTAATATATATCTTTGTTCTTTATTTCTTATTTTAGAATAGAGCTCTAGTAACTATTCAATAAAATCGTCGAAATAAAGTGATATAGTGTTTTTTTTTTTATACAACTTAGAATGGCAAACAAACTGACGGCCCACCTGATAGAAAGTGGTAACCGTCGCCTATAGACATGAGCAGTACCATGAACATAACAGAGTATACTGTTTCGTCCACGATACCCCCCATGCGTTGCTATTCCTGAGGACTCGGGTGTTATTCCTCTATACCCTGTAAATTCACGCCATATCCCACCCTTCAAACCGAAACGCAGCCATGCAAACACAACTGCTTTACGGTTTAAACACGAATGAGACAGAGGTATCCAAGCAATCGACTTTTGTAGAAAGTCTTCCTTTTTTTTTATACAACTTACAATGACAAACAAGCTGACGGTCCACCTGATGGAAAGTGGTAACCGTCGCCTATAGACATGAGCAGTACCATGGTCATAACAGAGTAACCTCTGGTAAATACAGTCTCCCTCTGGTGAAAAGTGTAAATCGAGATATTTTACTTTCTACCTACAATGAACATTCAAATCAAATGCCTAGAGGTAAGCACTTCCTCAGATTTATTGACGTAGAATTGAATAACCCTTCATGTTCCTTTTGACTTTTACTTTAGTAAAATGAACTGCGAGTACTTATATAAATTAATTATCGATTTATTAATTAACAGAGCACTGAATAAGACTGTCTAATGGATTTATAATAGCTTGTCGTAAACTTTCATCTACAAACATAGTGAAACAACATTTTTGTTTACTTATAACTGTGTGAAATTATAAAACTATGTTACTTTGCAGTAATAAGTTAAATTATTGAGTTATATTTTTATTTATTTATTTATTCATTAGTACAAATATGTATACATGGCGGACTTAATGCTAAAAGCATTCTCTCCCAATCAACCATAGGGAAGTGTCAGAATACTCGAATGCGGTACTACCAATTATTGATATACATACATACTAAAATTACATATATAAACGAATAAATGTATATGAATAATAAATGTACTTACACATATATGATGTATACTATATTATATACGAATTTGGGAATAATATAAAGCATTTACTGCTCGGATAAAGATAAAAAGTGAGCGTGAACGCTTTTTTTGAAAGACGGTTTACTCGGTTGTCTCTTACCATTGACTTGCCATGTCGGTTATACCATTTTATATACGATTAATTAATTATTTATTCTTTGTTGACCCCGTTTTACAAAGAATATATAATTCTAAATACGATATACTATTATATGCTGGTCAAACTTTAGGGTAAAATAAATACATAATGCAATGCAAATTATTGAATTTTTTGTACGTACGTATTATTAAGTTCACTTTAATATTTCTTTTTACTTATTTATTTATATATATTAATATCAAACTGTCTAGTTAAAAATCTGTCATGAAGACCCAAATATCATAATCCAATATGGGCGACACAAAAATTTATGTGTATCTATTTAAATATGCAGCGAACATAAGTATAAAATATATATGTAAATATACATAATTATACAAAACAATAATCTAAACAACATATAATTATAAAAGTACAAAGAATATGATATCTCATTACTGTCGTGGACATGATATTAAGCAATTTTCTTTAGAACGAATGCATCAAAAGATAGATTCCTGAACGTTTCATACAATCACTATTGTAACACTACACTATTATTTATATCTAAAATAATTTACTACTGTAATCTTTTTTTTTATACCACTGAGATGGCAAACAAGCATACGACCCACCTAATGGTAAGTGGTTACCGTAGCCTATGAACACCTGCAATACCATAGGTATATTACAAGAGGTAATCTTTTGGGGGAAACAATAAAGAGTGTCCAACTATATATATATATATATATATGAAAGATTAAAAGATTATCCAATTCCGTTACCGTTCCCCTCTTTCTGTTACATCCCATAATGTTTATATTCGTACATAATACATTAAAACACCTTATCCCCATAGTTTCATCTGGGCCATTGAGCAAACGACTCTACTATTATGTCGTTTGCACTAATGCCAGGCATCCGTACTTAAGTATTTAAGGGCGATAGTTCAAATCGTCCTTGGTTGCTAGGCGGTCAGCTGTTACCCCTACTGTGTAAATTTGTATGCTGTGTTATTTATTTATTTAACACTTTTTTACACCAACATAACAGGATTTGTTGAACAATTTTCAATAAGTATAGTGTAGTACAAAAGGCGGTCTTACTGCTAAGCAATCTCAACCGGTAGAAACTCAATCGGTAGAAAGAATTAAAAAATAAATATTTGGCGAGTGAAAAAAAATTATCTGTAAAAATATATATATATATATATATATATATATATATATATATATATATATATATATATATATATATATATATATATATATATATATATAATATATTTATCTAAGTCTTTATTGCATCAGAAACATAAATTAACAATGAAATATAGTAGCATAAAGAAAAGATTAAAATATATACATAAAGGTACAAAAGGCGATCTAATCGCTAGGGCCATCTCTTACAGGCAGCCTTTGACTTATTTTTGTTTTGTTTACTTTAGCACATATTTTACTATTACCATTATCATATCAGCCGTTAACTGTCCACTGCTGAACTTGGGCTTCCCTTTACTGGGGAGTTTTGCCAATATTTGTCATGCTTAGCAAGCGGATTGGCAAGCGCAGTTAGACTTTGGTGATGAGAGGTTTTTGCGTTAAGAGGGACGTTGCTGATAATTATTTCTATTTACCTCGTTTATACGAGTACAAAATAATATAGATATATTCCGATATTTCAATTGAAGTTATATATTTAACTACATATTTAACGACATTTTTGCTCATAGTTTAAATTCTTATCGTAAAATGGTAAAACAAGTGTCTGAATTTAATATGTAATTGTTCTTATATTGTATTGTTACCTAATACAATATTGAGGGGAGGAAAGGGATTGTTAGCAATGGAGTTTGACAGCCCCATTGCTAGCAATATGCCCTATTAGGTCGACCTCCACGTGGTTTCCCCTGGAAACCATCATGAACAATTCTTGTTGAATTCTTCACGATGGGCTAACTGACCTGCTTCATCCTCATCTATCATTCTTCACTGGTGTCCCGCCAGTGTATACCGATAGCGCGGGTATACCATACCATTCCATTATCACCCATTAAAAAAAAATACAATATTGAAACTAATATAAGCTAACACTGTGCATAGCCATTAACGGTGTACAATTTTAAATCAATTACTTAGTTATAAAGCTTGTTATAGTCAATGTAATGTAAATTGTATTATTGTTGCTGTGCATAAATAAATAAATATTGAACTAAATCTTATGATAATATTTTTGTCATATTTTTCCACACAGATGCTGTTCCTTTGTCGGCAAAAGAGGAGGAGGTGCCCAAGCCATATCGATTGGCAAGAACTGCGACAAATTTGGCATTGTGGTCCACGAGTTGGGGCACGTTGTCGGCTTTTGGCACGAGCACACCCGCCCCGATCGTGACAATCATGTTCAAATCATAAGGGACAACATTATGACAGGTAATTTAATTGTATAAATAAATAGAACAAATTGTGACCGCCCAGTAACTACAGGTTTATTAGTAGCCCGTACGTGAACATAATATATTACAAGTATTAATAACAATAATATACTATCCGTGAGATTGTGGCGCCCTCTTCGTTACATACTAATCTTTTTGATCTACCTTGCCTGATGACGGTTTTACGTGCACTCGTTTATACTTTGTACAAAAGTCGATTGCTTGGGTACCTCTGTCCCATTCGTGTTTCAACCGTGAAGCAGTTGTGTTTGCATGGCTGTGTTTCAGTTTGAAGGGTGGGATATATCGTGAATTTACTGGGTACAGAGGAATAACACCTAAGTCCTCAGGAATGGCAACGCATGAGGGGTATCATGTGCGAAACAGTATACTCTGTTATGTCCATGGTACTGCTCATGTCTATAGGCAACGGTTATCACTTTTCATTAGGTAGACCATCAGCTTGTTTGCCATTCTAAGATAGACCCATCTCTCACTGGTACCGCCAATGTGTACCAATAGCGCAGGTGGGGTTACAATGCAATTTTCACTTATTAAAAAAAAAACAACCTTTACTGGTACCCTGTCAGTGTACACAGATAGCGCTGACGGAGTCACCATTCCATTTACATCCAATTAAAAAAATCTGCCTGATAGGATTGTCAAAAGCATTTGTCAATTATTGTCTTGTTATATTGATTTGTTTTAATTGTATACTATGTAGTTTAAACTTTATGATCTAATACTGCTTCGTAATTTGTATTCATACAAATTCATTATTTATAAAAATAAACTATTTAAATAAAGCAACAGCTAAGTTTCATGACCGTTCTTCTTGGCTGAAATTTTACGTTCCGAAAATTGCGGTAATAAAAAAAATAACAAAAATGCTTAAATTTAAGTTTTGTTGATTAAAAATATATTTTTCTTTCTTCTTCTTCTGTCATTGTAGTAAACATAACACTTATTCATTTCTATATTTATTTATTAACATTACTTCCTACGATTGGTGTAAATACTACGAAACAGCATCGATTTATTCTCGTCTAATAATCAACAAACTTTAGACCATTATCAACGCAATTTCATTTCATAATTATATAACTTCGAACCGAGATCTTAATTGTAACAGTTTAAAGGAATTACAAGTTTGCAGTGAATCATTATTAAATTAAATTACAGTTTACGGTTACACTTACTAATTTAGCAGCACTTACAGTTATTTTTCACTTATCGTTGCTAGATGAAAGGCAAATTCATCAATATGGTTTACGAATGGTAACTAGATATGTGGTGAGATGATACTCACCAATATCTATTTATATATCAACTTTTATAATATAATTGCATTTTAAAAACAAGCAGACAAACTAACATTTTGTTATATATATGTATATATATATATATATTTTTATTTTAATACAGAAAAGGGCATAGTCTACTTTTTTCCCGCTCAATGAATATATCCCAATTACGCGGATATAGTCACGGGTAAAAGCTACATAGTTATAATTTGATATCATCTGTTTTTGACATTGACATGAGTGTCGACCGAGACTCGTCTCGGGACCTTCAGTACAGATTGTTTTCAGTGTATGACTGACTGTCTACGTAATGTTACCTCTCTAAGTCTGAGATATGAACACGAGTGCGTATACTAACTACTTGACCCGAATACATTGAGAACGTCTTAGCGCAATCTTTTGATAATTCCTCCACTTACACAGTAATGCGTAGTGCTTGACTGTTTATTATAAATAAAAATCAATTGCCGAATGCATGCAAGTGCATCGTTTCAGAACGACTGCACTCACTTGGCTAATTGCTTTTTGTTATGTTTACAATCGTCAAGACAAGGTTTATAAGAAAGTAAATGTATAAAAATAGCACAAAAAACTAAAGAAATTGATTTGAAAAAACTTCATTTAAAAAAAAAACAAATAAGAGGAAAAATTTGTTCTCATTTTCATCATATACGGTACACCAGTGCAAAGCCGGGGCGAAAGCTAAAATAAAAATAAAAAGAGCTTTTATATTGACTTTTACATAACTACTAACTTATCGACTACAAATCTATACTCATCCCGTCGACGTCTGTTTGTTCTTTGATAGCGATATCTGATAGTTGTTTAATATTAATTACATAACATTAAACTACTAAGTTTTGTATGGCTCTTACACCGCATTTTCACCAAACATACACGGTGAATTGTGTGTTAAATTTAATCCTTACTCAGTGCTGAATTGTACTTAATATCAGTACACAAAGCTAGCTATATTATCAGAATGTCTACTAGTTATACTTGTCAAATTCGCTTATAAATAACAATAAAAAATTATGGTGTGAATACGGGTGAATATAAATTTCTTTTTTTTTTTAATTGGACAGATAAAAAAAAAACATTATATTCAAATCTGCTTATTGTATTAATAATATAAAAAGCCGCAAACACTGAATACACATATATTGGTGTTAAAGCTGAGACATCCCTTTCTTAAATCTACAATCAATTGTTTAGTATCCATGTAATACATGCTCTTTGTAATTACTAAATGTCGCTGTGTAATTACACTACTATTTATTCATCATCATCATTGTGATTATCATAACAGCCGTTAACTATACACTGTTGAATATAGGTTTACCTCTTGAGAGGTTTTGCCAGTAGTTGCCATGCTTTTTTTTTTATGGGTGATAATGATATGGTAACCCCGTCTGCGCTATCGGTATACAATGGCAAGGTACCAGTGATAGATGACTAATGAGAATGAAAACTGACCCAGTTTGCCCATCCTGACGAATTCAAATAGAATTAGCCACGAGGGTTTCCAGGGGAAACCACGTGGAAGTCGACCTGACAGGGTATATTGCTACGAGTAGTAATGGGCCTATTTGACCTCCATTACTAACAATCCCTTTCCCCCCTAGTTACCATGCTTGGCAGGTTGGTTGGCACCCGCAATAAGGCTTTGGTGAAGTTTAAGTAAGGATATTGCTGCCCATCCCTTGATCATTAAGGTTGCTTTGTTGCCTCATTCACGTTCAAGAAAGGAAGAAATGGCCCATTCTATACTATTTATTATTTTTACACAAACATAAATAAATAAGTGTCACATAATCACGCTAATCGCCTGGTTTTCAAACAACGATACCCTGTGTTTTTTGGCACATGACAATAAACATACGGAAGCACCATATACCCAGATCCCAACCAATTTAAAAAAGTTCGTCCCTTAAATTGGCTCGATATTGTGAATCGAACTCACAATCTCATATACGACAAAGGACACGATTATCGTTGCGCCACGAAGCTGGTCAAATAAAGACATTACACGTCGGTGTAATATAATGTCAAACGTACGAGTAGGTACACTGCGTGACAGTGACACGAATGTCGGGCCACATACAAAACGTCACGGGCGTGACATCTGAAGCATAATCAACGTCCCCGAAGGGAAAAACATTTCGCTTCCTGTTTATTGTATTCCTTCAATCTGTTACTGCGTCGACTTATTAAATTGTTACGGTGTTAATGAGGTCACGGTTGGACTGACGAGGCGACGGTACTCAGATTGTCGTTTAAGGAAAATTATGTTGAAATAAATATACCGACGTGATGAATAACAAGTCATTCTTATATCTATAGATATTTCGTATAAATACGGGCTGGTGTAAAAATTGTTACTATAAACTGAGGGCCTACCCTGAAATGTGTTTCGAAATTTCGAACACAAATGTGATGTTAAAATTACAGTTTGGAAATATTAAAAATGTTCAAATATTGTTCCTTTGGACTTTTATGATAGAATGTATGACGAACGAAATGTTAAACACCATTTATTGGTCCGATTTTGCTATAAACAAACACACGAAATTGAGTCCGAAATTTCGGAATTTCATTTCATGGTAGACCCGCTGGCTATATCTCGCGGCTTCGCTCACATTAACATATGTTCATTAATTATACTATATTAGGATATAACCTACCCGTGTTCTAAATTTAATTTAAATCTGTTTGGTAGTTTTTGCATGAATATCCATACATTTTTACAATTGTAAGTTTGTTTGTTTATTACCTTTTAACGGCTTTACCAATTACTATGGCATTTAGTATACACGTGCTATAAGAGATGGAGAAGAACATAAGCTATTTCTTATCCTGGCCAATGAACATATTGTCAGTCACGCGAACAAAGTCACGAGATTTCATTTTGTAGTTATTTTAGTTTAATTTTGACTATCTAATCAATTGGAAAATAAATAAACAACGACGGAAAATTAACTCCAATATACTCATACCTAGACTTCACTAAACTAAACTCATAAAATTCTAACCGAAACTTTAACATATTTTAACCTAAAATTTAATTCACAAGGTAACTATGAAACTCGCAAACGATTTACTTCGAAACTTGCTACAACTTTAAACTGTAACAATCGAGGTTTTGTGGTGCTCCGAGCATCTAAGCTTAAGGCCGAATAAAATTAGACCTTATCGAGACACGTGCTGAGTTTAATTTTCCAAGTTTAATGAGAAATCAAGTTTAAATATTTGGAGATACTGAAATTTGTGTGTTTTGTTCAGTAAGTATTCAACACGGTACTCAAACTGCGACAAAATGTTGGCCTAACTATGTATAATATTAACCAAAATCTTTTCAAAGACTTTAAGCGACAACCCTAAAACTAAACATCCGGACTCGGAGTCTATTCAGAAAAAATTGTTTCCTAAATGTACTCAACCAGGGATAAAAATTAGGACCTCATTTATGCTAAGCAACGAGCTTGGTTAACTGCTTCACTACTTTTTCAATCGATAGAGTGTACTGTAGTTTTGGTCTCGTGTTGTTTTATGTTAATAGCAACGATCAAATTTTCTTTGCGGAGAAAAATGAAACGGCATTTTACTATATAAAAAATAAGTTGTAAATCAAAATATACAATTAGTAAAACATTTAGATACACTATTCTACATTCCAAATTCAAATTAACAGATATTTTCATACGTTCTAAATTCAAATTGTTAGATATCTACCTTTACCATAAATCGGATTTATTCATCGGTGCAATTTGATGATTTTAAAAAAAGAACGTTTGTGTTTTTAAATTTGACAAGTTTTTCAGACGCTGCAAATTTGCCAGCATAACGGTAAGCGCGCTCTTAAGTCTCTAGATTATGGGGCTTGAGAAAATTAGGACAGCTTTAAAGACGAGAACACTAGAAATGGCGACGTTTATATTCAAATTTGTTGAGAATATCGTAGTGGGAATACAGTTTATAAGATTTAACTTTCAGAAAATATTGTTTGTTTTAAAATATATGTTAGTTATTTAACCAGAAAATGACCACTATAAAATATACTTACCAGAGGGAGACTTTGTACAAAAGTCGATTGCTTGGGTACCACTGTCTCATTCGTGTTTCAACCGTAAAGCAGTTGTTTGCATGGCTGTGTTTCGGTTTGAAGGGTTAGGATATGGCGTGAATTTACTGGGTACAGAGGAATAACACCCGAGTCCTCGGGAATGGCAACGCATGGGGGGGTATCATGGGCGAAACAGTTATGTTCATGATACTGCTCACTAATAATATTAGACTATTATTCTCCGCTAATAAAGAGAACCCCGAGCCCGACTGTGGGATATTAATGGGTTAATATATATTAATGGGATAAAAGATAAAGAAATGGAATAATAAGTGCATTTGACGTAAACCCAACAAATTATAATGACTAAATTGAATCAAGTACCCATTACGGACACCGGTCGAGCAATGTGCGGTGACATAACGGCCATTTAGGCTGAATGTTTTACGAGCCTTAGCCATAGGCTACACTAAGGGCTCAGCTAAACGAACCTCACTTAATTTAGCGTAGCTCACTTAATTTAATTTGGCCAACTATGTGAGCTAAGTAAAGATGTGCAAACGGAAACTGTATATAGATAAAATTTGTACCACAGATAAAAATCAAATCGTCAATTGTGACAAAACCAGTTATTTTAATTTAAAAACCAAACAACTTGACTGATTTAAATAAAATTTCATATGGACCCCAGACTAAAAGTATATTCTTTTAAATAAAAAAAGAATTTCCAAATCGGTTTATAAATGACAGAGTTCTGAGGCAATTAATATAAAAATACAACCTAGGTATATTATACCTAATTTAGAATCTTTTCCTTTTTTGAAGTCAGTTAAAACTAAGAATTACCCAGAAAGTAGTAGCAAAAGTGATACAAGCAAGTAGCATTATTATATAAATAAATAAAATAAATGATTATACATATCCGTCTTAGTACTTTTTTTTTGTTAAGTCTATAGATCTTAGTATAAATTGAAGTAAAAAAAGACACTGCAGCTAAGTTTGCTAAACTAAACGAAGTTCGTTTAATTTAGCTCTGTGTGTCCTGCGCTTTATTGCAGTTCAGTGGATGAAGTCCTTGCAACTAATTTTATAAAACGATTTGCCCTAGTGTAGACAATTTTAATGTCTTCTAATAATCTAGAGTTGTCCTACTAAAATTAGTAAGCCTAACTTAAGTTATGAAAAGAAAATCTATGTATTTGTATAAAAATATTTGATAAAATTTTGAATTTTTTTTTTCTTTTTGTATTAGTTGTAACTACAAATTTTTAACAATTACATGTCATAGATGACAGGTGGGGTATAAAGATTAAAAAAAAAAAAATTAAAAAAGTAACCCAGATAGTTTCCAGAGAAACGAGTGGAAGTCGACCTAATAAACTGTATTGCCTGCAATGGGGTTCCTACATCCTTAATTAATCCATCATTAATAATCCCCTTCTTTCTTTCTCCTAACCTTCATTTTGTTAGGCTTAATCGTTTCAAAAAACCTATTCATTTCTTTTCAGGTCAGGAGTACAATTTTAATAAGCTGACGAACGAAGAAGTTAATTCTCTCGGACAAACTTACGATTATGACTCCATTATGCACTACGCAAGGAATACGTTTAGTAAAGGAACTTATTTGGATACGATATTACCTCTGGAGGTGCACGGTAAGAAGAGGCCAGAAATCGGGCAAAGAGTGAAGCTCAGTGCCAGTGATATTGCCCAGACGAATCTACTCTACAAATGCGCAAGTAAGTTTTTTTTTATACAACAGAATGGCAAACAAGCTGACGGCTCACCTGATGGAAAGTGGTAACCGTCGCCTATAGACATGAGCAGTACCATAGACATAACAGAGTATACTGTTTCGCCCATGATACCTCCCACGCGTTGCCATTCCTGAGGACTCGGGTGTTATTCCTCTGTATCCTGTGAATTACCGGCAAGACATTGTAACCTTAAAAACTTAAAAAAGGCTTCCTTTTTAAAAGACTGGCAGCACATCTGTAAGTCCTTTGGTATTGCGGGTGCTAATGGATAGTGGTAGTCACTGGTAAATGACTGCTTCGGCTCATATGATGGGTAATCAGGTGAGCCGCAGTTGTTGCCTTTTCGAATGCAGCCGTATGCCCTAAATTTCGTTGAAGAACCAATAACTAACATAACCCGAAAGATAAGCAAACTGAAGTTCAATGGAACAGTCATATAATTAAATATGGAAGTTTTTTATTGGTTAAACGGTTACTCCGTACAGGCAGCATATGTATTGTGTAAGATGTCTTCTCTTTAAATATTGTAATAAATATCAGATAGTATGCAAAAAATCAATGCAGGTAGCTCAAGAACTTTTCTAATGGCTACCTATTTGGAAAATCCATATTCATCTTTGGTTTCAACAACGATTTGGTTTACTGAAATTTCTTTTTAATATATTTACGTATATTTTGGTAATAAATAAGGATGAATATCTTCAACATCAGAGGTGTCAACTTTTTCTAAATTCTTTGTTAATTTTTATAATAGCATATTAGTAATTAACTGTTTTTCTTTTTATTCTTTTAGAATGCGGGAAGACTCTTTTAGGTAACTCTGGCTGGTTCAATTCTCCTGGCTGGGGCTCTGAGGCATCTCCTTCGACACCGGAACGCTGCGAATGGAGAATTGTCGCAACCCACGGAGAAAGAGTCGTGCTAAACATTACCGGTAAGTCGTCTTCAGTAAAAAGATCAATACATGAAATCAATTGCAGTTTAATACATCTCGTTTTAAGCCGACTGAGTAGTCGATCGTGATGAGTATAAGAATCGATCTATTAAATTAAAACAATGCTACTATCCTATAGTTGTCTAACTATAATCAAACAAGGAATTAAAATGTTTATCCAACTTAATGCTAATAAAAAGTTTTGCTTTTATTAATTTAAGGTAAATTTTGGAAACGACTTTTTTCTGAATTGGTTCTGAGTTTCTTTTATTGTGCACTTAGATGCTCATTTCACTATGTATTCTAGTAGATTTTTCAGTCCAATTCCATTACTCTTCTGCATATATCTTTTTCTCGTATGTGATCTATCAATTCCACATGAACCTATGATGATGTTTGATCGTTAGATCTTTTCCAGTATCTTTATGACTCTATCCTTGCATTTTAAAAGCGTTTTTTTTTATACAACTTAGAATGACAAACAAGCTGACGGTCCACCTGTTGGAAAGTGATAACCGTCGCCTATAGACATGAGCAGTACCATGGACATAACAGAGTATATTGTTTCGCCCATGATACCCTCCATGCGTTGCCATTCCTAAGCACTTGGGTGTTATTCCTCTGTACCCAGTATATTAACGCCATATCCCACCCTTCAAACCGAAACACAGCCATGCAAACACAGCTGCTTCACGGTTGAAACATGAATGGGACAGAGGTACCCCAGCAAACGAAAGCGTTCTTAGTTAACTCCGATAATTTATAGACACAAACTTCGTCTGCACCAAGCTCTTAGGAAAAACGTATAGTAATATTGTTTCCACTAGCTGACTAATAGTCAGAGATGATAAATATGGATAAAGTTAGGTCAGTTATCCCATCGTGATGAATTGACTTAAAAAATTACTTACTACGGTTACTAGGTGATCCCACGTAGAAATCAACCTAACAGGGTATATAGATAGCAATATATCTATCAGTATTTATAATATAGTTCCCTTGCATGCTATATGCATTGCTATAAATATAATCCAGGGCAATAGTACCAATTGTGAAGATTCACTGTCTATGCCATCTATACAACTAGGACCACTCTAATAAGAAAGATAGATTAAAAAGGAGAATCAAACACCTTTTTCAAGCTCCCAATTTAAACCCATATCTGTAATTAAATCTCTTAAAAATCTGTCGCCCCTAATAAATATACATATCCATAAAACCCTTGATGACACAGGCCGATATTCCAACTATGCTCGTCAAAAAGAGCATTGTCAGGGGTATGAAGGATACTTCGAGGCCCAATTTCGTTTTAAGGACCCTCTTGAGACACCCCAATTGCCGTGCGTAGTTATGTCTTATTCGTCTACGTAGGTATGTGTGCATATATTTAAGTTCGCCATTATCTATTTGAAAAATGTATTTTCCATATTCACAAGTACATCAATTACGAAACTTTTTCATTCCTTATTTCTTGCTTTTTTATTTAGTTTTTTAATTACATTGAATGTCTAGGAAAATAAATAATATCCAGCTAATATTCTCTCCTAGCTATTTAACGAAATTTTGTCAATGTGAATCAATATATAAAGCATCTTGTATTAATATAGGATATAGCCTATCCGTGTTATAAATTGCATTCAAATCCATTTAGCTACAAACAACTAAACATATTTACAAACTTTCACATTTATAATATTAGTAGGATCACACCTGGGGGGTCTACCATGAAATAAATTCCGAATTTTCAGACTTAATTTCATGTTTTTGTTCATGCCAATATCGGCCCAGTAAATGAAGCTTAACATTTGATACGTCATAAATCTTACTATAAAAGTTTAATATAAAAGAACGATATTTTAACATTTTTAATATTTTTAAACGGAATATGTCACGTAAAGTTAACATCAAATTTGTGTTCCGTTCAGCCCCAAAATTTCGGAAAAAATGTCATGGTAGACTCCCTCTCTCTATTCAGGGATCTCGACATTTTAGGAGACTTTCAAATGAAGGGGTACTCGATTCGTTTGAGTTTATCAGTAACTATATAACGCGATTAAGTCGTCAATTAAAAACTGATTTTCATAATTATTTTTGTAATCAATAGGGTTATTGTTATTCTCTTTATTGTTTATTATGGGTGTATTATTTAAAGTCTTACAATTAAAATAGCTCAACCATAATGTACCTTTTTAAGGCGTAAAATTACAAAGACGGTTTACTTCAATATTGACACCATATTAGTTGTAATAATCGAAGTTTTGCGTTCTAAATTCAAATATTTTCAACGTTCCTTATCATTTATCTGAATGTGTGTATCCATGATTGAAGTCACTTGTAGAGGGTTACGGACTTTATTCTAAATGGATAATAATGGAGTGGTAACATTAACATTGCTATCGATATGTGAATAATAGACGAAGATGAAAGCAGGTTAGTTGGTCTATCATGACGAGTTTCCAGGGGTAGCAGCGTGAAGTTCAACCTGACAGGGTTGCCAGCAATGAGGCCACTAGTCCCTACTATTAACAAGCCTTTCTCCCTCCAACAATATGTATTTGTCGTACCAAGTATTCTGGGTTTGCTAGAGATAGAGGAATACAAAGCATGTTACTAAGCACATCCATCTTGTAAACTGGATCGGAGTAGTTCAACAACAACGAACGGATTATGTACGGTTGTCAAAACAACCATTTATCACGAATACCTACGTACAGACAGCAGCTTAACGAGATGGCCCTGTCAAAATGTACTGCTGTGTCCATTATGGAGGATTATTGTGTGCGGGACAGTACACATTGCAAATAGAAATTATTGTAACGCATCTATGAAAATCCCTTTAAGTATTATATTGTGACAATAAGTTGGATTTGCGGAAAATTGCTCTCTGTTCATACCAATATAAAGATATTTATTATTTTTATGTACTTTATCTAAAATGCCATTTCCAAAAATTACCACATCTAATTACTAAATAACTATTCTAACTGCCTGATTTGGGATATAATTTGAACAATTATTATAAAGAGCATAAACTCAAAAATTATTTAGCCCAAGAAATTCTTTCACCTGTAAAAAGTTATTTTATCAGCAAGTCTCGGCTACGGTAACTACTTAATATCAGGCAGACCGTATGTTTGTATACTACCTCACTGATTTTAAAAAGTAATATTTTAACTGTATTTTATTAAAAAAAAATAAAGATCCCTACACTATCTTCTCGTGCGAAGCTGGGGGCGAGTCGCTAGTTGTGTCTACAATTATCAATTTTAGCGACAAAGTGGTGAAAATATTTGTGGTTATAGCACTCAGAAGACCCAAGGGTCCTGAGAGTGCGGTATCGCCCACGACGCTACCTTTCGAGCCAAATCGATCGAGTGACCGCGCGGTTAGCACGATTGGTTCGCAAATTGTTTCCTTAATTCAACCCGTGTTCCAGGGGAAAGTAGTTGAATTTTGCAAACACGAACTCAGAGATATATACTGGTTTAATATATGCCGCAATTACATCATGATCATCATCATTTCAGCCCTTAATCGTCCACTGCTGAACATAAGCCCCCTAGGGGATTTTACCAGTAGTTGCTATGCTTGGCAGGCGATTGGCAACAAAAGTCAGGCTTTAGAGATGTTTTAAGTAGGACTGTGCCCATCTCTTGCCATTTCTTAGTTGTCTTTTACGACACCTACGGGAAAGGAAGGAGCGGGCCTATTCTATGCCGGAACCACATGGCCATATCATAGTTTTGTAGTTTTGTAAGTGTACCTTTTTATTAAGAGACACGCTGCTGAGTAATTCTCAGTAGCATTTCTCTTAAAACATCACCAAAGTCTTACTGCGGTCACCAACTCCCCTGCCAAGCGTGACAACTACTGGTAAACCCCTCCGATACTGGGGAGGCCTATGTTCGGGAATGGATGGATAACAACTGATATGATGAGGACATGATAGTTTTTTCTAAATTAATTATTTTGCTTATAACACTTGTGACGTCAATCTCTGTGTTTAATCTTTAAATATCATTCGACAACCGTGTCTAGCATTACGTAGCAACAAGCTACGTACATATTTACAAAGTATTTTATGAACTCAGGCGTGACTCAATGAAATATATTTATTGAATTGTTTTTAAATGTTGCCATCAATAAATAAAATTCACGCATGGATAAATGAAATGACAAGGTAGTTCTTTATATGTATAAAAGACTTCAATATGAAATATTTCAATTCTAAAATTGTGTTTGGTTTGTAGTAGATACTATCATTATTTATTTATCTATTTATTTATTCAAATGACTTTATTGACCAAATGAAAATGTGGTAAAAAAGCGAACCTACTACTAGTAACATTTTTTACCAATCAACTTTTGGAATTAACAGTGAATAACAAACGCGATACTTGATTATTGGGATAGGTAATGATACAGAACGGCCACACAGCAGTCTATTGTAGAATGTGTCGCTCGGCGGTTTACAGAAGTAGATGGAGACATATTGCGAGTACCTCAATCGGGAAGGAGGGCCTCATCGACGATCCACTGTCATTGTAAAAACCACAACCAAGAGTGTATCTCTGTCAAGAGTGTACGACTGAAGAGAGAGAGAATGATAATAACCCGTTTACGCCAATCAAGAATATATAATAATATACTGCGAGATTTTTTTTTAATTTATTTATTTAAACTTTATTAACCAATAAAAAGTGGTACAAAAGGCGAACTTAATGCTATAGGCATTCTCTACCAGTCAACTTTTAGGATATACAGAGATACTCAATGGCGGTTTAAAACATAAAATTATTTATATTTTTGTATAAAATGGTAAATTACATACATACAAATATTCATGAAATAAACATACATATTGATATAGTATTTATATGTATACTAATACTTGCTTATATATATACAAATGCATCTGATCACCCTTTTTGAAGGTGAATTTATTAGAGAAGGCACAAATGCTTTTGAGCAATGAGTCGTGAAGTTTGCAAAGTAAAAGA